CAAATCAATTATTGATAGCTGCTATTGATGCCTGGTGTGCACTTTTTATACGCACTGTAGATGCAAAAAGGTGAAAAGCAGTACGCTCAAGAAAAAAAACCGGAGTAAACCGTCGCCGTTTACCGCGGCATATATGAACAAGCGTTTAAGAAAGTGCTGTGTCTCCGCTGATAGTCGGTACCCGACGAACATTAGGTCCCTGCGGCAAAGGCTGGCCCACCCGGCGTGCTGGTGGGTTCCTTTCTTCTTCAGGACCGACCATCATTCTGTCCTTATTCTCTTTCAAACGCATCGCGATTTCTCGTATCTCTGTCACGATGGGGACGAAAATGATGAACGCCCCGCCGAGGATGGCCCAAGTTTCGCAGAGATAGATCCAGGACCTGAACTCGCTCTTGTTGAGGACTCCCATGGTGCTCATGATGACTGGCCAGAGGACTGCGAGAATGAAAGTGAAGCTCAACCCAGAGATGATGGCAATGAGGTTTGCACGACGGAACTCACTTAACATCTGAAGTAGCGAGGGACGGTTATAAACTAGCTTGCCCTCTGGAACTCCAAACTCTCTGTATGGATGGAAAAAGAGGTAAGTACTACAATTCTCATATATCACTGTTCAACAGGAAGTTATCTTAAGGTACTTTTTAAAGGGCAATCCGACCCCGTAATAAGTTCGTTTGAGGGAAAGGAGAAAATTCAGACATGCAGAATGGCGAAAATAAATCGGACCACTAATAAGAAAGTTATGAATGTTTGAAATAAGATCACAACACCTATGCGAATCTCAAATTGGTAGTTTTGTCAGTGGATTGTGACGTAGTGACAGATACCCCCCCCCCCCCATATGTTCTGCAAAAATATATCACTAATTTCTGTCTTTCTCCCAAGTGCCTTCACCTTCGGGGCACTCAAAATATATTATCGAGAGTATATTATTACAGGTCCTCGAACAAGAAGAGACCATCCCGGGTCATACCATTTTTCGAATAATTAATATTTAAGTCATTTTGTGGGTGTTGGAACAAATGGGGAAGTTGTCCGCCCTTACATCACAGAGACCCATAGTGATTGCAACTTTCACAAATTCATCACTTTCTTATTTTTTTCTGATTTCATTCAAACTTCCACCGGTATGCTTTTCTGATTTGTCTGCTTTCTTCGAGAGTAGGTTCCTATCAAGGTTAGATTTCCTATTAGATCAGAGATAGTTTACCTTAGATAGTCGATACACATACAAACTATAACTTGCTATGGAGACAATTAGCTCCGAAATACTGGAATGATATTCTTGTTAACAATATAGTACCGATGATGCAATAAATAGTTCCTGTTTGTTTGAAAACAATCCATGTTCCTCCTTTAAGTGAAAGTTGAAACAAGTATAATCTTTGTATTCATGGTACTGCACATACGAAATTGGACTAAAATGTCTCTAGTTTTAAAAATTAAATGAATCATTTATCAATTGGTTTCTCTCTTCTTTAAAGTGAAACCATACACCTGTCTCCCATAAAAAGATAATTGGTTCGAATTTCGGACATTCACCAAAGCATATGCTGTTCATCTGATCATGATGATTAAGATGCAAGACGGTGGACAAATTAAAGACGTAAATAAATCATATTTCATTAAAGCTCGAGTGTGAGACTTGTCCAACCACAGCATGATAACTCACTTGACGTAGTGATGTGGCCATGGTGAGAGTGGGTTGTCAATGTCTCGTGTCTTCTCCCATATCTCATGCTTCTCTTCCTCTGTCACTCCACGGTTAGTCAGGAGGCTTACCACCACTGTAATGAGTGCTCCTGTTAAGATGGATCCACAGTTACCAATCAGCATGTTCGCATCAAAACTCTCCCCTGGTGATGCGAAGGACAAAGAAGGCATCCATTAGGACTAAAATAAAAATTTGTTGTATTGCCCTTTGCGACCGACCCAAAAATCTGAAAATCTACGGTTGCATTGAAAAAAGTTTTTTTTTTAAACCGTTTTTTAGCTTTTTTTGTAATTAGTGAATAAAATAACATGTATTTTGTTTGTTTAAATGGGATATAAATGCATACAATCAAATTATTCCAAAATTCTCACTCGTGCAAACCATAGATAATTATGAGATGAAAAAATGGAATGATGACGATGTATTAAAGCGCTTAAAAGAACTGAGAAATATCAGCCAAAAGAGGGCGGGGAAAAAGAAGAAAAAAACAACAATAACATTCAAATCTGAAAAATATCGGCCCAAAGAGGGCGACAAAAAAAAAAAATTCCGACCGACCGACCCATGTTTTGGCACCCAAAGGGCAATACAACAACATTTTATTTTAGGCCTTACAATGGTTTCTTTACCACGTAATATGGCATTGGGTCAATTTTCGACGTGCTCAACACACAAAAAACACAATGTCCCACAAAGATTTAAGAAGTAATGAACAGCGCGTTCATGTTGTTGGATCATCTAATCATCAATCAATGCAAATTATCACTACCAATCAATTGATGAACAGAGTGAAGATGATATATTCTCTGTCAGTTCCAATTGGTGCGTGAGTATCCACAATTTGAGGCGTTCGGTGTCACCGAATTAATTAATCTCCTGACGAGACTAGTCGAGACAGATATACTCCTTTTTCACGAAAGATTACTCTAGTCTCAAAATCTTTTCAGAACTACTCCGCAGATAAATATCAACATATTTTTTGGAACTACATTCTTTATTCCCACTTTTCAACTTTTATCTGTTTACAACCTTGTGAATGTAGATTATAACTTCTTTCTGTTTTTCCACCTCCCATGCAAGGAGGTCTAATCCCTCCTGGCAAAACTAGAGCAGAGGGGCTTTTAAAGATCACATTCGTTCAAGAAAAGATAAATCAAAATTGAATAAAAGGATATTGATCCATTGATATCAAAGAGGGCCCTTTATTATACCAGTATTTTTTGGAAACGACACTCTGATACACAAATAAACAAATAAATACATTATAAAAAAACTTACAGGAACTATCGAAGAAGACACTGAAGTTTAACTGTCCATTTAGAATGGAGCCGGCGATGACCCACGTGATCAACCCGCATACCATGCCAATGGTGGCGCCCATCATCATGGCCATGCCAGTCAGCCTTGTCCAAAACATACTCAAAATAATTGGCGTGACGGACGAGCCTATCAAAATCCCCATGAAATTGTAGACAGCATTGAGATTCACCTGGTGGTTGAAAAGAAGGAAGGTGTTGGTAGTGTCAAGGTTCTTTCAGATATGATAAGGTAATTAGGTAATCCCCCAAGGATAGTTGTCCGGTGGTAGTTGTTTTAGAGGAAAATTGTCGTAGGGGTAGTTGTTAGTGATTTTATACTTTATCAAAATTTACATTTTCATGATTTAACTGGAAAAAATAACCCTAAATTAATGGTGCACCCACACAAAACATATTACTATCAATATAACTTGGATGCTGGTATGAGGTAATAAGATAATTAGGGGGGAAATTGGAAATTTATATTATCAATGTAAATAAAACAATTAGTGGATAGTGAGGGAATGACCACACAGACTTATGAGTGACTTGCCAATTTGTCATGTCATCAAGAATTCATAACTTTCTTATCACTTTTTTGATTGGTTTGTCTGATTGTTCTGCTTCTAATGAAAGTAAGTCATCTTTGGAGAGGACTTCCCCGTTAAGTGGAAACATGGTAATGATTAAACTCTGCCTACCTGTAGATAATTGAAAATGATCGTGAGAGGAACGAAGGAGAGAGAGACCCACACAAGACTCCAATTTCGTTTGCCTTGTAGTAGCTCGAGGTAAGTGCGATAAGTACCATGTACAGTACACTTGAACGAAGGCTTCAGTGCGCGATTGGTCTGTTCAATTCTTGCCCTGCGACAGAAAACGAAGTCAACAAAAACATCATCAATCGCTTTTGTATCATGAAGTTATTTCCAATGTTACGTCTGCAGGTTTGAGTGTAAAAATAATATTCGTATCACAATAAAAGCACTTAACACTCAGAAATGCAATTAATTGAATGGGAGACCAAGAAAATGCTGAAATATGATGAAAATTTCGTTCCATGATACATCATAATACTTATGACACTACTTAAAATGTTCATACATATTAAAGTGCATATTCTATTATTCTAAAGCCATAGAAAAGGTGTAAATGAATGACCTGTTTTCAAACATATTACCTTAAAAGGCTTGCAAATATAAGGAACTGCTAAAAAAATGTCTTGGTATTAAAGTGTGAACACATCTGGATTTTGTGATAAAACGGCATCCATGCAGTTTATAGATTAAATAAACTGATCGTTTCGATGGCATGTTCTCACTTTTTTGTAAATGTGGTGAGAAAGGCGCGAGAGGGAGAAAGAGAGGGAGAGAGAGAGAGAGAGAGAGAGGAGGGAGAGAGTTAGTTTGCTACATAAGAGGCCGACGATACCAACATATCCAGAACTTGACGTACGTTAAATGATACCGCACGTATATTTGATTACAAATTAATTCACAAAGATAGAAAAAATGGTCAACGTCTAGCATGTTAGGCTCATTTATTCGTGCAATTATGTACATAAATGTATGAAATATATCTTGAATGATGTACAACTTCCATACCCAGAATCCGCACTACCATGATCATCACGTACTATACCCATTTTATGTGAGGCGGTGTTTTTTGTTTTTTGTTTCATTATGTTCACCAAACAAACTAAAGTGGCCAACGAAGGTAATTTGTGGTTAAACGTAATATTCCACTGTTTCATTGTACATCAGTACTGGATGTTACAGTCACTGAGTCACGTGGTGCGTCAAGCTCCCTGACAGTCATAGCACTCACCTATCGTCAGCGTGACACCATTTACAGTCAGTCATACTCTGACAACCGCACTGGTCTCTCAGTGACGCCATCCGACCACGTGACTTGCCACAGAGGATGCAGCCGTTGCTATCGGCAACGCGTCTGAAAGGCTTGAGATGGATCTGGTAGCAGTCGTATACTAGGATGGACGTGATAGCCATGACCTCTGCTGACCCAGTTGTTGTCACAGCCAAGAGAATCAAAATTACAATTAAAAGCTCCCCGCTCCAGCCCATCAGCTCCTGGGCTATCCTTGGAGGAACTAGACCTGAAAAAGAGTAGAGAGGCCCATTTCAACAAAAGAAGATTCACATCTTTTGTTTTATCACTATGATATAGATTTCGCATGAGATATTTAAACAACTTCTTCTCAAACATTATTTAGTATAGCTGTGATATTAAGATAATTAAGACGAGGTTCATGGCTAGATAGTTAGGAAACAGGCTACTAATATCACCTCAAAAATCCTGAAAGCACCGAGGCGCACAGTAATGGACTTAGTTTTTTCATGTCGACGTGATACTGATTAGTAGTTTGAAGTTTAAAAGCACTGGGAATGTAATCTCCGATAAACTACTTGACACATTTCCGAAGAGAAATCAAGACTTTCATAGAAAAACCATCGATTTAGGGCTTATTAGGGAGACAGAAAATGAAAAATAGGTCTTGTCCGGTAGGAAAAAGCTTTTACAGATCCGATGCCTTATGTCACCATGATGTTCATCATTGTGATGGGGCATTACCAATGCTTTTGTTTCCAATGTTTGAAAAAATGATGGTGTTAATACCTTGAGCAATCTGGTCTGGTGTGAGAAGATGCATACCGGCGTCGGCGCTGAGTGCCAGGTAGGCCAGACCCATGGTGGATGCAAAGGTGAAAGGAATAGCAAACCAGACCAAACCACCAATCAAGAATCCCCACATCCCTTCCCTTGGTTTGGCTGCTACTGAACTCTGCCAGTAGGACTGGTCCACAAACACAGTTCCAAAGTTACCTGTAGGATTATTTACAGCAATACTTGTTCATGAAATACCTTCCTTGCTTAAGGTTTAAAATCGTAAATTTGTTTATTAAACTGTTATTGATATTTGAAATCACATGCATGCATCCATTCATTCGGTTATTCCTTCATTCATTCATTCGTTTCTTGCCACATTTTATAAGGTCACATTGAATTCGGCAAATTGAGCCAACAAATATAGTAGTAACAGCTAGTCAATGTTTACCGGTCAATACATCACGATTTTACTCTTAAGTATGATAATTATATTGAACAGAATCAGATTAATATACTGATAAATTATGAAGTATCAAATTACAATCATGAAATATGAGACGAGACTAGAAATGTCGTTCTCGTGAACCCTCGCAAAACTGTTTGCATACCATCCCTTCGATCATGAATCGACGCTTCTGGTAAAAATGAGGCAACGAAAGTGTTTTTTTTTTCTTCAACCCCCCTCCCCCATACTCTATTTTTAGCCATACCTATCGTATTTTTAAAGCGAGACACTCGTTTTCTGAAGGTTCATAACTCCGAAGGTTCGTCATTTCAAAACGAAAATTTCCCATAGAAGGTTCATAATTATGAAAATGAAATAGGGTTCACAATTCCGAATAGTTGTTGCGTTTTTCTGAAGGTTGGTTTGTCCACAGATTCATAAAATTCCGAAATTGAAATATCTTCGTTATTCTGAAGTTTCGTACTTCCGAAAAATAATACAGGGTTCAAAGTCATTTTCCGACTTGGCAAACTTCGGAATTACAAACTATATTTCATTTACGGAAATGCGAACCCTATTTCATTTTCGGGATGAAACAAACTAGCTAGGTTGATTCAATCTCACTTCGTCAAGGATGTGTACATAATTTTGACCATTCCCATTACTTTTTAACCTCTAAAGTGGAAAGGACACCATTGAAGTATGACAAAAATAATGTAATTGGTTCAAAATCATTATCGTTCGCGAGCAGACAATCACCTTACTTTTCCTTTTTATTCCAACACCTACTCCGATAAAGTCTATTGCTCATGCAGAACAGCGGTTATTAATGCAATGCAAGTAATTGGTTGACATTGCTCTTGTCATCATATCGTTGCCAATCCATTGTTGAGAAAAAGTAAATTGAGAGAGATGGGGTAGGTATGAAGATTAGATTGACTGTTCATGCGACATAATTACCGATCCTACTAAAGCACAGTTTGATGATTTTCTTTGAATAAGAATTAAATGATATCATGTGAAGTTTACTTCTCTGTTCGTATTGATCGTGAATCGTATGTTGTATATGATGTGCGATTTATACTTTAGGCTGCTTTGTGCTATACTCAATGCCTGAATTGTGATAGTGTTCTTTACTTCAAAAAACCATCATTCACCTTCTTTCATTTTCTGAACGTAATATGAAGAATGAAATAAATGATTTAAAAAATATATAGATTTCTTGGAATCTGTAACTCGTTAGCTTAGCTTCTACATTAGCAATTTAGGCCGCTGTCGTATTCATTTACGAATTTTGCCTTGTCTTTGATAAATTATCATACAATTCATTTTGAATAGTTTTAACGTATCATCAGTTTACAATGTATTGGACAAAATATGGGTGCATTTTTAAAACAACATTGGGGGCTTATTAATCTACCTACATTCTGAGGCGTATTGCATACCCGTATTTGTATCCTATGTGTATCTTTAAATACTGGCATTATATACCTTGGGCAGATGCATCTATAAATAGATTTGGTTACAGCGACTAGCAATACCATATTGTATTATTGCCCGACAAAGCAACAAGCGCCATATTGCTACCCACTAAAACTAGGTCGACCTAATAATGGCTCTGCCCCTTGGGACAATTAAGCTCCTTCCACAATAAGCGAATAATAAAATGATCATTTCATTGTGAAATTAACCGCTTTAGTTATTATATTGATCATCTCCCTAATGAATTGGAAGCGTAATAACTATTGGTATGAGTGGTAGCAAGTAAAAGTACAAGAAAAACTCGGTAATCGGTCAAATTTATTATGAAAAGAATCAAGGGTTGAATCTGTTATAGTAGGACAAGCTACCCCATTCTTATGTTTTAGTATGTGAAGCGTTAACAGACGTATCATCCATTCTCCTAGCGAGTCTGGGAGGACTTGTTCAAGAAAAATATACCTGTTGAAGATTTCAAGATTGTAAATGAAAGTATTGTTGTCTTTAACTTCCGGGACAAAGGATGACAAAAATTCTGGTCCTATAATAATCTTGGTTATGTCAGCGCTTCGGGTCCTTGGATTTTACCTTGTAGTGCCGATATGACTAAGACGCAATATTTTCTTCACCTGCCCACATTTACGGACCCCTTTGTATATTTCCATTCTAATTCGATCAAATTTTAAATAACAAGTTTACGGTTGCACAAGTAAGACACAAGCTCTCGGATATCATCAAAACTCTGCTGTTTTCCTACTTTGGCCACTGTTGTTATTTTTTTATAATTATTTCGACACGTTATGAATACATTGTTACCGCAGTTACTAATTAAGTGGTATCCTTGTACGTAACAACAACGGGAACTAATTAACGTGTAATAAATATCAAATTACCGAACCAGTATCTAATCCGACTAATGAACTAAAATTGATGAAATCAATTCGGCATGAAAGATAATTAGTGGCTCGTCCACACCTTGGCACTAACGTGTTCACTCATTTAATGAACTTTCGGCCGGCCTCGAATATTTGAGCAAGGTAGCCAATTGTACGTTCCTTTTTGTTTGTTGCTTGGCCACATCGGGAAAAGGGGCCCCCTTTTGGAAGATAAAGGAACATTTTTGAATGGATGGAAAAAGCTAACGGAGAGCAATTAAATATTACCCACTCCCCCACCCACTCACGTTTTTGTGTAAGCGATCAAACAAATGTCGACCCATTCTGAAGAAGGGTGCTATCAAAACCAATTATTTCATAAACAAACGAAAAACTGCTGAAGGGTTTGGATGAGATCGGTTTTCAAAAAACAGATACACGAATAGATGTATAGTATATGTTAAGTATAACAACAGTACCTTCAGTATTGGAAAGAGTGCACACTAATTAAAGTGAAATACATGTACTAAATCATTACAAAATGAACAGGGAAAATGAAGCATGAAACTGTAGAATAAATAAAATTGAATACAAGAACAAACGTTATAGGGCGTAAATGACAATGAAAATGTCATGGCTTGTGGACCTAAGCTATGGCACTTGGGTTTCAATCCCATTTATCTGACTTGCGTTAACTTTGGGTTGAGTATTGACTATTAAAAGCTTTTATGCTACTGTCACAAAAGGTTCGTACGAACGATAAGTTCGTAATGGCATTTGTGACCGAGGCTTTACCTACCTACCTCACTCACATCTACTGTTCATAAAACGCGACCCGTTATAAAAGCAGCTTATGCAACAGCAGAGGGTGATTTATTCAGAAGAATATATCGATGGTTGCGATTAAGGTCATATTTTGCATTCTTTGGGTAATCTTGGCCAGGAGAATATCAATATTCCTCAAACTCCTTGCACGTACGTATATGTATGAACTCTATGTATTCAGACCTTGGTTTCAGGAGGCGCATAATATCTCGGCTCACTATGATCCATATCAGGAGTTCAGTGAGGGATCGAATTTATGGAGAACTGGTTTGCCTATCGCGCGCGTATGTGTGTGTATGTATGTGCGTGTGTGTGTGTGTGTGTGTATGTGTGGTTGTATGCGCGTGTGCGTGTCTGTGTGCGCGTGTACCTGCGTGTGTGTTTATTTATTTATTTATTTCTGATCTTTTGACAGGGTAGCCCATTCACCAGCAAGTAGTGGTCTTCCATGGGGCCCTGAATGAACATATTTACATCGTTTATAACATTTATACAGAACAGTTACAAAAATAATACTCGTTTGCAAAATAAACATATATCATAAACCTAGTAAACAGTAATGTCAATAGGAAAATATTAATTAAGTCGCAATTATGTGAATAAGTCATGTAAATATTACAGAACATGCACGTAGTGTATATACGGCTGAGCCATTCACAAATTACAACTTTGTTTAAACAATCTCTTAAATGAATTGACAGAGGAAGCCGTTCTCAATGAATTATCTAGCTTATTCCATTCAAATATGGAAGAAACAATTGGGCTACACTTATAACAATCAGTGTGAAAGCTAGGCACACGTAAACATCCACTGTCTATTTGCCTTGTATGATGCTCATGTACATCATTAGGATTGATTAAGCCTACCTGAAGGTAAGAAGGTGCTAAGTTATGAACGCATTTATATATCATCATAACACGACTTAACTCAAACCGCTTGTCTAGTGTCATCCATTTAAGACTTGTGAACAAATCAGCCGACGGTGTGTCATATGTCTTGTTCAATATTATTCTTGCGGCCCTCTTTTGAATTTTTTGCAGCTTAGTTGTATGAGAATGAAATCGGTTCGACCATACAACAGAGCAGTAATCTAATCGTGGCAACACTAGACTGTTATAAAGTAACTTTAAGGATTTTGAGGCAAAAAACTCTTTGCTCTCTTTATCATGCTAATGTTTTTCTGGGTAAGTTTACTTACGTTTTCGATTTGTTTAGACCATTTCAATTCTTCATCTATCAAAAGTCCTAAGCATTTGGTGAATTGAACTCTTTTGATCAAATTGCCGTTTAATGAAATGGTGAATGATTCGATTTTCTTGAGATTAGCAGGAGAGCCTATTAGCATGACACAAGTTTTTTCAGTGTTAAGAACAAGACGATTTTCCTTAATCCATGCCATGACTCTGTTTAACGCAACAGTTAATTTTTCTTCCACAACAGTTGCATCATTTGCACTGACGGTAAGTGTCGTATCGTCAGCATACATATCTATGATACCTTCAGGAGTACATTCAGGTAGACTATTAACATATATTGAAAATAAAAGGGGACCAAGAATTGAACCTTGTGGCACACCTAATTTGATGGTTGATGGATGCGACTTGGCTCCTTTAAATTGGGTCACTTGTTGTCGATCCCCTAAATATGATTTGAACCAATAAATAGTCCTATTACTACACCCTATACAAGCTAGTTTATGTAGAAGTAGCTCATGGTCAACAGTATCAAAAGCCTTACGAAGATCTATGAAGGCAACTCCAGAAATCTCTTTGTTATCAATATTCAATGACCATTGATTTACAAGTTTTGCAAGTGCAGTAGCTGTTGAATGTTTAGGTCTAAAACCAGACTGATTAGGGTGTAATAATGCGTGTGCGTGTGTGCGTTTGTGCGTGTGTGTGTGTGTGTGTGTGTGCTTGGGGGTATCATCCAAATGTTAATGTAAATCTTCAAAGAATATGCCCATTTCTCGTGTGTCCATGTGCAAGCTCACAATTATCAGCGATTCCTAAACGTCTTCTTATTGCGTCTTATTTTGACTTGTATATATTTTGTATGTGATTTTGTTTTTGTATGCACGAACTTGTAGAAGAAAAACCTTTGCCGAAGCAAGTGATCCGTGTTGAATACACCAGTTTACAGTTGTATCAGCGCGCATGCTCAGACAGTTGACCTCGGGTCATTGGCCCCGGAAACAGGGCCAATAACCTTTGACCAATGGTATTTATGCGTAAATTAAGATTGCGCTCATGCAAATGATGATTTGCGCGCACAACGCAGCGCGTAGGCAGTGCTATCATTATAATATGCATGGGCGCAATCTTAATTTACGCACAAATACATGACCTCTAGGTCATTGGCCTTGTTTAAAATGGCGCACACAACTGTAAACTGGTGTATTGAAAAAAAATGAAAATGAAATGAAAATAAAATCACTGCCAGCGGACATGTCTACCTACTTTGATATTCTTCCGAACAGACATAAAGATAATGCGAAAAGCAATCAGATTATGTTTTCATCTTTACCATGCAGGACTGTACTTTCTCTTTTACGTCATTTGTAAACGATAACTGTGATTCGTGGATATCTTACCGACAATGTTGATGACACCAAACATGATTCCACTGGGTGAGACAAAGGTGAGGTAACTCCGGTCTTGATTCCGTTCAGGACCCACGGTACAGTTCAATAAATCATACACAGTACCTATGGTACCTACAGGTAGGAAGATAACATTGAAACGGGAATCCAATGAGTTACACCACTTAACAATATGAAGGTAACGATGCTCCCACGAATGACACATTTAATTTCTAGGCATTTATCAAAGATATTATAAAAATCTATATCAATGTGACAAAGTAACGAACAACTGATTTAATTCGATTCGATTTAATTTGACTTTACTTCTTCTCCAATAAACCTAGCTAAACCATTTTAACATAAGGTATAAGTTAAAAGTAATTGAGCAGAATTTGTATAAATATCTTGAACAATATATTAAAGTTTTAGGATCTGTATTGAAATTGAATATTTATTTTAGGATCTACTCGTCTTCACGACATTCCTTACCGAGCACTGTGTCCCGGCTGCCGAGGTTGTTGTACGTGATGAGCACGAAGATGGTCATGATGATGAAGATGATGGTGGTGTTGAAATAGGACAAGTAAAAGGTAGCCCCAAGCCCACCGATCCCCGTACTTGCCCAGATGATTACCGTCAAGCACATAGCAGCCATTTCTAATGACAAGCCGTCCACCAAAGATGTGAGAACTGCACAACCACCTGTATAATAACCACGAGTGATTGACAAGAACTCATAACTTCATTCTTGGTAAGCAATCAAAATTATGATCTATGAGAGATTTGTGTTTAGAGTCAAATTTGCAGGACAATTTGAAAGAAAGAAAATTAGTCCAAATTTGTTCTTTTAAACGTATAATCTGTATGAAAGACACATTTCGAACATTCACTTTAAAATACCCCACCGTCATATGTTTGATGTGGAATCGATCAGAAAAGGTTGACCATCTAGCATATAAGTATTGGTGTGTACTGCAAGGTTCTGGAATCATCAAAATGATAAAGAAATTTGGCCCAGTCTTGGTAAATTAGTTACAAGCACTGTACACAGAAAGATGTTTATGGGACTACACGAACATGTGGCATAAAAATCCGTCTCGATTTTTATGATGTTACATGCCATATTTAGAATATTAAGGCATTTGAAGAGCCATACTTTTCAGGGGGCATTTTGTATCTGATGTATACTTCCACACTTGCATAATACAATGATAACGCTCACAATTTTGTTTCACCTCTTCCCAGAACTCACCCTTCTCTTTAAAGACGTATACTCAAAATAGATTTTAAAAGAGGCATGGAGATAAGACTGCCAAATCATCATTTTTTTCCTGTCTTTTGTCTAAGTTTTCAATGACAACCTCTAACGTGTCTAAGTGCTCACCTATCTTTAATTCAATGCCATACACATTATCTAATTACATGTACATTAATTCACCTGCATGCGAAACGAGTACGCGGCTGCATCTTAACATGTGTCGTAGTTAGGCGAGTGGTTTGAAACCATCGACTGAATATAAATTGTGCAATTGTGACCGTAAAGGATAGTTGAGTCTTGGTATAGAGGACGTTACACAAAATAATTTGTTTTTGTGAGATAATGAAAAACTGAGTGTCAAATTTAAAAGAGCCTACAATTTTAATTTCAAAATCATCTTTGTTCGATCAAAATGGTTCAGATATCTGAAATATCCATAAATATAACCATTTCTGATATGTGTGGGGCCCCACAACATTATTAATAATCGATAATTTTGAACCAGCCGTTGAAAAAACGAGATATGCCATATCTGGGTTTTTGTTGGCTTTTTCGTGTTGGTTATAATACATGTTATTATTTTTGAATTATTAAATTAACAGTCACCAGATTTTCTTTTTTTTTAAGTGGAGCTGAATTGGTATGATAGGAGAACATCTAAATTCCAAACTTGTTAAGGTCTAAAATTACCTTATCCTAAATGGGCAATAGAAATGTCATAAATAAGCATAAGAGCAATAACCATGCACTTTGAAGGCAATTGCGATCTTAAACAAGAACTCAACTGTCCCTCTAAAAGGCCGCTCATCTTCAAGACTTCCCTCTACCTGTGTGTAAGAGGTTAACGATCATAATCACGTTTTACAAGTTTATACAGGTTGGAATACTCCTAACTACATCAGAGAGGGTATAATGATGTGTAGAATAGCTACTTAATCCAATGTCCAGGGCATTGATAATAATGTTATGTAGTAATTTAAGAAATTTATTTCTAGATTCATTCATTACCCATCATGAGCATAGCAGTGACGATAATGTTGGTCATGATGGCGAAGGCACAGAACACCAAGTGTGTCCGATTCCCGAAGCGAGCCTGGATGACCTGAAGAAATGTCTTTGCTCCGGGTGCCCTGATCTTCATCTGCACCGAGAGGGCTGCAAACATCAGCAGAGGAATGGTTGCACCGGCTGCATACCAGAACGGCCCACTGATTCCATTCTGCCAATATAAGGGATGAAACATAAACTTCTAATTGCGTAGTGTCTTAGGTGAAATGGGAAATAGATTGTTTGGTCGTCAGGCTTATTTAGCTACATGATTACATTATAGAAGTTTATGAACAGACATACTCTCGTTGCTCTCTTCAATACAGGATGGCAATTTAGAAGAAATGAATGTTGTCATTATGTTGTTCATTATTATTTTATTTTTAATTCTAAAAATCAAATTTGAATTGAAACAATATTTGGAGACATGATTTCAGTAGACAAGGAAAACGTGGACAAATTAAATTAGGATTAGATTAAATGGCTTCCTCTTGTTTTTGTCTAAGGGTTTAAATTGGAATTACTTTATGGTGATATCCCCCCCCCCCCCCCATTTAGAATTATTCATGTACTTATCCAAGTAAACATCTCAATCCCAAGGTTCGAACGAAAAGTGACGTTTTTGTTTGCTTGATTTTTTGTTAGTTATTGGACTTTGATATTTCACAATTTTACCAAATGAGGAAAACATATCTAAGACACATATTGTACATTTCCATGATTTATGTAGTAAGGTATGTTTTATTTAGTGTACTGTATTTGTTAATTTTTCCTTTTTCTAAAAGAAAATCTTGACGGTTAAAAAATTATTGTGTCTTCTATTTTTGTTTCGAATTCAGTTTCTTTAAATAACATTGTACCCTTCATCAATCCATTAGAAACAGAGCCGATCGAAAACTGAGCCATTTATTCCTTATGCACATGCAATCTTGTCCCCTCGCCAGGCCAATTAGAGATTTCGATTTCTATGTAAATGGATGTGCGTGACCGTGTGTGGGTGGGTCGCCAGAATGGGTGTAAACATACATGTACATGTATCTTATGACCTTACATTTGCAGCTACAGTAGATGACTGGAGAAGGGTAGCTGCCCAGGTCCACTGTGATACGATGGTAGTCGCTGTCAGACCAACGGACACTCGTCCTCCTGCATCGAAACTGAAATCCAACATCGTCTGTAAAGACAGAAATGATAAAGCAATGAGAGGGATCCTATTGGCAGCCGTGTTTTGAATTTTAAATTTTAAACAATTTATACTAACGTATATACAGTATGAAAAGATTTGGGCAAACTTTGACCCATATTGAATAAACAAGCAAGCATGCATACATACATTATTCTTTACATTTGATAAAACTGTGGATACCTCGATATGTGAATTTGTCTAGTAACTCTTCATTTCTTTATTTGTTTGTTGATTTTTGTTTTTATTTCATAATTTTTCATTTATTGCTGTAATATGCCATCATATTCTCGAAAAATATAGTACTTTTACAATTAACTCGGATTACCTTTAATAAGATATAATATGTGTGATATCTAATCGCACATTAACGACGCACACCAATTGGTCTCATTTCCCAATAGCCTTTTTTCCAGTCATGTAATGTTCAAGATACATATTATACAATTTCTCGGATATCTGACTACGAGACGTACTTTTTCGGAATCGCAAGTAAGGAGCATTTATTTTTCCGTTGCATTTAAAAGAAAAAATACGCGTACATCATAAATATTAACAAACACATGTTCAGTCAAGCCAGGCATGACACAACTAGTCCCCCAGACAAAAAAAAAATAAAAAAAAAAATTAAAAATAAAAACGCATGAATTAAACAAAAGAGAATAGACTCTGACATAAGGAATCCATTTCAGCATCAAGAGTGTTATGATTGTCATCTGATGCCAATATTAATATTGATGCGGATAACTATTGTTCCAAAGCAAATTGCCAAAGACGAACACAAAAATTCATGGTCGTGGTAACCATTTGCAAATTGAAAAAACCCCACTTGAAAAAAAGCAGTATTTAAATTTCAAATGCTTTACACTTTTAGTGGTTGAAAGAAAATTAGGCGAGGAAGGTCATATTCAGAGAGAGAGGGAGAGAGAGAGGGGGAGAGAGAGAGAGGGAGAGAGATTCAGGCAAATTGTTTCTCGACATAATTATCATGATTATATCCATGCAGATTACATGAGACAATGAAAAAAGACAGAAGGCTATTAATTATCTATCCACTGCCGGCAAATAACCTATCGTAAAAAGAAAATCGTTCTGAAAAGATAGAAAACTTGTAGCACAAATTAATGAATAGTAATAGAGAGCTGATGCCCAAATAGATCAAGTCATAATAAGTGTATTACGTAAGTCGGAATGGCAATATCCGGGGGCATTAATTAATGAAGAGAAAAAAATGAACTAACAAAACAAACGACCGAGCAATACATCTATTCTAAAGGAATGTCGGTGCTAAACTCAATTAAATGAACTTAAAAGTAGAGGGTGAGGCCAAAAGTCAAGTTTCTATTTTGCAATAAGGGTGTGGCCAAAAAATAAAAGAGAATATGATCACAATCATGAGTCGACGCTTAATGCAGAATGGCACCCCTGTTGCATACAACATTCTTTGTTGTTAACAAACACTGTCAAGGAAAATATTAATAATATTATTGCAGAATTTGGCTTCATTGAACGATTAAACTGGGTCGTCTGATTCAACATTGTTCTCGTATTCGATTTTTAATCATTTTCCCAATCTATGACATACAATTCTATTTCCTATTCGTCTGAGAGTTAAAAGATAGCATTGCAACATGGCACCCCTCATTGCACAATTTGGCTTCAGTATGATTAAACTGGGTCGTCTGATTCATCATTGTTCTCTTATTTGATTTTTAATCATGTTTCCAATCTAAGACATGCACTTTAATCTCTCATTCACCTGACGGATATTCATTTACCCCCCCCCCCCCCCAGCCCATTAAGTTGTCAAGGGAGCGAGAGAATTTACCGAACCGTTTATAATAATCCATAAAAGATAGAATAAAGGAATAAATTACGTTTTGTATGCCTATATATACGATCTATTACCATAAACTGACGATTCGCACAAATTTAAGTGGACATTTCATGTCACCACGGTGTTTGTTTTTTATTTTTATAGTGACCTTTCATGCATGAATTGGATCCACTGCTGTGGTGGCAAGTCTCATATCTAGTAGTATCAGGTAGAGGAAATCATGTATGTTGAAGTACACGGTTGAGGTATGTTTCGCAAGGTAATTAATTAGATAAATTAGAGTAGACTTTACTTTGACAAACGTCAATTAACAAATGGAAAATACAAGCTTTAAAAGCAAACACGTCAGAGGTCACCGAACCTCCTTTACAAATACCGCGATAAACGATTAAAATGGAAGCGATGGTGATAATGATAATAACAATGAAAATGATAATGATAATAGCCCAATTAATAAAGATATCAATAATAATAATAATAATAATAATAATGATAAAAAAAAATCAAAGCGATAACAACATCTTTTCATTAAAGTTATTTATATAGAATTAAATAACAGGTTAAATTGATGAAGTAAAGTTAACACGTTTCATATGTATGCATCTCATAACACACGGACTAATTAATCGTTTGTGCTTTGCCTGCGTGCTTTCGATTTTGAAGAATTTTTCTAATAATACATAAAATCAAATTCATATAAAATACAAAGCCCTATGTTATATAGATGCGAATCAACCATTAAGAATTTCCTGAAAGAAAATAAGCGGGAAAATATTATCTGTAGAGCAGCATCAAAAGTGGAGTGAAGTTCGCTCCTATTAAGCTATATGCATACGTACCATCATGTGACAACACGATAATTCAGCGGAGCTTAATGTTAGCTGTGCAATGAAAACACATCCATTATCCCCATCCCGGTAATGTACCCTGGGGATGGTCCAATCGATAGTTAGTGTTTTTCCGACCATGGTTACTAAATAAAAGGTTCTTTGAATCCCCCCATTACGGGTATCTTTTCCACTGGAAAACAGTATTATTGATACACCTGTAGTTTTAAGAACGAGTCAACATTATTAACATTACCAATCATCGCCCGTGCGTACGCAAAGCAAGGACGCAATTTATTAATATCCTGGGCTGCGACATTTGGTATTAAAATGACGGAAGTACATAACATGCAAATGCTTATGATTATCCGGGAATAATCCCCGCAAATGAAGCAGAGATAATATGCCTTTAAGCTCCACGTGATACGATGTGACAAGTATTTTTAACAGTCTTCAACGGCCCACTCATCAGATTTGCTCGGGTGTAAATGGGATTGTTAGGTAAATGAGTATTAAACGAGTAACAATATTTTCAATAGATCAAATAGCGTTAATATTGAACCAACGTCATGGCTTTCTCTCTGTAATATCGCTATTAATAATGACACTGATTAGATGATAATGATGATTTATTTATTTATTTATTTTGATCACTTACGTACACGCCTCAGCTGTTGCTAGGTACCATCTGTATATTCCCCAGGACAATGCTGTCGGATGAAGCTGTCGTTTCTTTGTTGATTTTGCTTGTTTTTAATGAAATTTACCCGCTGTCTATTTTAGAATTGTAGTACTTTGTTATTTTTATGATGTTTTCGCAGACAAATGCTCAGCCCAATTGAGTTAACTTTCTCCTTATAAGTGAACATGCCTTCCTATACTTAATTCTCTTCTCATTTGTTTTCCTCTTCCATTTACTATTCTTTCCTATCAACGTTCTGTTAAATATAATGTTCTCTCGGTAACTGTGTTAACTTATTATGGGCGTTCCCAACCAAGCTATGCTTTCCGGGTTTTCGCCTCCTTCCGTATCTGAATTATTTACTGTATATACTTTATGTTGAAATAATACATATATAATTTATATACATTGTGTTTCATATTGTACTGTTGAGAAGGAAATGTTAATAAATACAACAACAAAAATGATAATAACAATTGTTTCTTGTAAAGCGCTTTGCCAATTACAACATAACCGACCAAAGCGATTATATTATCATAACCCCCGTCACGGATTCTAGTACGATTATGCGCTTTACAGAGCACACTCTCCACTCCACTCCTGACGGGTATACCAACACATTGCATGTCGGTAAATATCAAAAGGAGTATGAAAAAGAGTTATAAGAATATCCCCTACACGATTTTGTTTGTTTTGTTTTATAGCTAATAGATGATAACTATTTGGTGTAGATTTGCGAAAAATTGTCATTTTGTTGCCTAACCTACATGGTAGCGCGTTTTCTCCACCCCCCCCCCCCCTCCAATACAAACCATTGACGTAAGGACAAGGAGGCCTGGACAAAATATATAAAGCATTGTCATGATTTGTCGAAAATGCAGGTTAACATGGTAAAAGTCTCTCACTTGGAGACGTTTGAGATACAATCCTTATCCCTCATCATGCATAATGGAATAGAAGGGGAAAATTATGATATTTAAAACCAGAAGAGGACATATTAATCCCATATAGATTGAATGATTGATGAGTATTTTTATTGTGATGACGCAGGTTGTGAATATGGTGTCAAATTGTTGGATTGTGAGCAGGGATGAAGCTATTTAGTATGTTTGCCATCGATTTGGGACATTAAAACATCAAAAACGATGAATGATGAATCCATCACACAACACGTCAAACGGTGTAGTCCCTATCGTCAGAATAATTTTAGAATAATTACAGGATGATTTGTTGCTTCTCAGAATACGAGCGAGAAGAGGAAATGGGGAAGATACGACGAGAAACAGAAAAACAATGTATCAAATTAAAATAGCAAGGGATGTTGTGTTTCTAGGCAATTTGAGAATGTATTAAAAAACAGCATTTCTAAATTACTCAGCCGTTACATAACAGACTCGTACATTTCAGAGCAAGTAATAGCTAGGGAAGTGGAAAATTCTTCAATTTAAGTTGATAACCCAAACGTTTAAGTTTTTAGATCTATTATTGTTCTCTCCAATATCATTATTTTCAAATTGTCAAAATATGTCACAAAAACTATCACATTTTCATTATATGAGTGCTGTTACCATTGTTACATTTTTTTATTATTTTTTTAATAACGATATGATATTTGCAAAGGTAATTAATCTTCTAATTCAAATTG